GGGGGGGGGGATTGGACGCACCAACGGGGCGGGGAGAGGTGTTGCAGCGCACTTGAGCGATGTGAAACACGTGGACGGACGGTGGGGGGGCGTGCTTTGCTGAATAAGTAAATGAGGGTTTCCGCAACATTTTTCTTCTGGCCCCGTCTGTCCGTCCAGCTGTCTGTCTGTCTGTCCGTCTGTCTGTCTGTGTGTATGGCTTTTAACATCGCTTCCCTCCCTCGCCGTGTGTGAATTTTGCCCTTCCTTCGTGCATCTCTCTGCCTGTCTGTCTGTCTGTCTGTCTATGTGTCTGTCTGACTATGTGCAGGCCAACCAACAGGCGACTGCACCTGCTGGACACACACAAGCCTAGCCTGCACGTGTACCCGGTCAGTGGGTGAGGGGGGTGGTTTTGGTCAATGAGAGTTCGTGCATCTATATGCTGACGGGCGAGGGAGGGACAATGGGGGAAGCTGGCCATGTCGGTCGGTCGGTTGGGTGTGCGTGTGTGTCAATATCCATCGTGAAAGGAGGAAGATGCGGGCGGACGGACACGTGGGGGGGTGGGTGGACCAATGGATGGACCAATGGACGGACGAATCAATCGGTGGCTGTGGATGAATGAGGTGCGTGCATTGCAAGGGGTGGGGTGCTCAACGGCGGTGTGTGTATACGTAACGTACAGCCAGCTGTCTGTTGTGCGGTGTGTGGACCTCTGTTGCAACCGTTGTTTGGCTCTCTTCTGAGCTGCTCTCCTCGTCCAGTCCATATCTATCTGTTTTGTTTTTTTTTCCTCAACGCTGGACGGCACTTCACTGATCGATCCGGATCCGTCATGTCAATCGAGCGCTTCCGCAGAAAAACGCCGACTACGACACTTCCAGCTGGAAATGCGGAAAATTGGACACCTACCGACATCGACACGTATGCAGAAACATGCACAAAAGCCGTGAACAGCACGAGCGGCCTCAGAGCACGCAAAAAGCGTGACGTCCGTCATCAATCGTCTGTGTTGGCCGCATCCCGCGCAGAAAGGGCGCTACACGCATCGTAAAGGGCCTCGGTGGACACAGACATTGCAGCCACGGTATTGTCAATGTCAGTGGTGAGCCGATGCCAATCGACCCGCGTGAGATGGCAGAGTGGCGCACGCACAGCAGCGGGGGGGTCGCTCTGCGGACGCGACGAGGATGAGCTGACGGGCGACAGTGACCACAGTGCATCATCGCCATGTGGTGTGTCGACCGCCGTTGCCGCCAGGGTCGCGAGAACCTCCGGGACGGCCTCCTGCAATCACCAAACATTCACACACGTGCAAGTTGGAAAGGATCACGCACATGCTCGGACCGGTTGGCTGCCGGCGTCGATGAGTGATTGCTTGGCCTTCCGGAACGCCTCGTAGAGCCCGCGCCAGCCGCCACTGCCATGATGGTGCTCGTCAGGTGGCTCCTTACCGTCACCCCTCTCCAGGTCACTGCCGTCAGCCTTTTGCAGTGCCGCCTGGCGCAGCTGTTCTCTCGTGACGAGCTCGTCCACCACATAGGCGAGGTTGGCGTGGAGGTCGTACAAAGTGATGCCCGGCGACACCACAGAATGCTGACTACTGACAGAAAGAGAGCATCGATGGGTCAGATTGGCCGCTCCACACAATGGCCATGTACCTGTCTGTCGGCTGTACATCACTCTGTGAGGCCCACTCAGCAGCACTTCCGTCGCCGGACGCCTTGCTGTCCTTCAGTCGACTCGACACTGCAGGCAGCACTATCACACGACAGCACACGACAAATCAATGTTTGTGGTATGTAGCAATGTCAAGCAGCAAGATGACCGGCATGTCTTAGGGAGCGTTGGTTTGCGAATGCGCGGGAGAGGTCGCTCGTCCGCATGTCCCGCAAGCCCTGCCAACACACACATAGTACGTGTCTACCCATCACAACCGCCACAGCAATGCCTTACCGTGACTGTGCCGTCGTCGGGTTTCGGCAGGTGGACGACCACCTGGCCTTGTCGTCGGCTGTCCATCTCCACTCGCTTCTGCCGGCGTGGCTCCATAGAAACTCGTGGCTGACCAATGGAACACAAAAGAGACGCACAGGCGAGCTGTACTAGGGAGTCGTTAGCTTACAAGTCGCTGGGGACGTGTGTGACTTTGAGGGTCTCGACAGCGTCCTGAATGGCGGCTGACGTGAGCTGCATGGCCGCTACCACACGATGCATCGGGCGGCCAAAAGAGGGGTCGCACTTTCCCGATGCAGCAGAGGCAGCAGTAGGGGGTCCGTCCACAGAGAGGGCCGCGGTGGACCAGTCATAGAAGACCTTGGGGGACCGTTGCCTTCTGTTCTCTTCTGTGTGGATGAGCCACGACACAAGCGGACCCGCAAGACAGCCGGACATCAAACGAGCTGAAGAATAACACAAAGATGATACGATCCACAAAGGAGAGAGAGTGTATGTCATTTATTGCTCACCGATGGCCGTCTTCCGATCGGTGAGGGCCGTGTATCGATAGGCCACTTGCAACAGACCAAATCGCCATATCCGCGTCACCAATGCGATGTAGTGCGCCAGATTGGCAGCAATCACCACCAAAACAAGTCCAATAGTCAAGGCGAATGAGCCGCCATCTTGCAACATGACCACAAAGTGCATGACAAACAGCGACATGAGCTACACCACTAGCCCTCCATGTGGCCGTGGTCGAACGGCCACACAGCAAACTGCAGTTTGTCCAGGCTGCCCTGTCGCTTGCCGTGCGATAGGCAGCACCAAGACCCGCCTCATCGCCAGCACAGCGTCCCAGTAGTACAAGTGCTGGCGATAGCCCGCCGTACGCGTGCGGTGGTCCTGTAGACCGTCCCAGTGTCCCCACAGATAAAAAACGACGAAGGGGCTGTCGGATCCAAACACACAGGACGCGACGCAGCCGATAAAAGGCATCCGAAAAAAGATGAAAGGCGCTCCCAGTGATAAGCTGGGAGCGGATGGATCCGTCCCATTGGCGAGCTGCAGGACACGCGGAGGGCGTGATGAAGGTGCAATCGATGAGAAAAGGCCGACTAAGACAGCCGATGGGATAAGGCCGACGATCATGGCCACGTGCTTGCGCAATCAACAACAAACAGCCAGCACGCCCGCCATGTTTGTGCACCTTCTTGTGTACTCGGCGGCGCTTGGCACCCACAGATGCTCTGGCACAGCAGGGCACCAAGTCCGGATGCAACACGGATGTTTGCGCTCACTCACTCACTCACTCACTCTTTTTGCGAATTAATGAAATGACGCGTCGATGGCCAGGTCACTTATGACTCTCCTGCACACAGCACATCCACAGTGGCACGCATCGCATCGGATCCTCACATTCCAGCGATGCTCACCTCTAGTGTCTTGCGGCTCGTGAATGATCTGCCAAAGCGACTGGTGATCTCGACAACCACACTCTGCTTGGATGCGACGGCTCCAGGGGCTATCCTGCTCTTGCACTGCAAAGCGGAAAAGCGGCGATCGCGCGAGCTTCCAAAGCGAGAGGGAAGCGGGGTGAGCGGCATGCCTCGTCGTTTGTCAGATCTGCCTGCGTGTGGCCCTGCCTGGACACATCTGCTGCGGTGAGTGAGTGGATGCTGAAGTCAATGTCATCCACTTGGCTGTGTGTCTGCAGGCTGCTCGCACCGGCAGATCTATTGGCCTTCTCGGCAGCCGCAAAGGAATGGAGCACTCTCATGTAAAACAAACGGACAGAGAGGAGAACGGGGCGCCAAGAACGCCTTATGTGTTCGTCTCTCACCTCTCTCGTCGTTCAGGCACGGTGAGGGTTTCTTCAGGCTGCAGTGCGGCCAGCTGTTCGGACTGCAGCAGTGCACACCGCCATGCAGACAAGACGGTCAACAGGTACGCACCACGCACACGCACACACTCCCACTCCCACTCACACGCCTCCCTCTCTCCCTCTCCCTGCATGGTGGTTGGTTATTCTTTCTGCACCTGCACGGCAGGCCCCTGGTTCCAACAACGGTGCGTGCCGTTCCTGGCTGATCGCCTTCGTCCTGTGGCAGCTGGTGGCGTCGCGGCTGGGCTATGCGGTGGATGCCGCCCTCTACAACAGAGTGAGCCGCGCATGGCGGTCACTCAAGGCATGGCTACAGCAACACGAGCTGCACCACATCCGCAACTCACTCAACGGACCCATCAGCTCGGTAAGGACAGGCGCACCGCACGAGTACAGTACACACAACAGGCCCATTTCGATATCTATCGTGTCCGCGTTTTATGCTATGGTATGCGATGTATGGTGTGAAGGTGGATATGAGTGCAGGAGTTGATCGCTATCGTGGGATGCCCGTGGCTCCCGGACAGGCGCCGGCGGCCAACGGTGACCTGCCAACCGACTACAAGATGGTGGGCCACTCACTCAGGAGGGAGGGGAGTGTGGCCAACCGCTGTATGTTTCTATGTCTGCCTGTGCGCCTGTTTGTCCATGGGTGTGGTGTGGCGTCAGGCGTTGTCATTTCACGATGGCCAGCCCCGCACGAAGCCGGAGGAGATTGCTCAGTCGGCGTGGCCCTTCGTGGGTCTGTTTGGCGGCTACTCGGCGTACAACCACCTGGCGTGCGTCAAGCTGATGTCGCTGGACGATGCCCTCACCCTCACGGCCGGCCTCCGGGAGAGGCACCAAACCATATTCGCAAATGTACACAACACACAGAGGGCAAGACTCTCCCGTCAAGCATCCCGTCTCTCTCTCTCTGTGTGTGTGTGGTGCTGGCAGAGTTTGTTTATTGCCCAGTGTCCCTTTGGTCACTTTCCCAAGGCGTTCGTGCTCAACACCGTCAACGGACTGGTGCACACTTATATTACACGACGCCCCCTGCACACACGAGCACATGGATCCCGTTCGTGTCCAGGTGTACGTGATGGATCGGAAGCCCGGCATGGCGACCCGGCTGACCCCCGCAGTGCCGCCAGGACCCCATGGGTTCATCAGATGGTATGTATCCACACACACACGTGTCGACCACACACGCCTCATGCATGACACTATGTATGTCTCGTCTCGTGGGTCGAACAGGCTGGAGGAGTTCGTCAACCGCCTGCGGGACGGCACATACGTGTACGGAGGCCTCAGCGATACATCAATGGATAGGTTGTACTCTCTGTCGCTGCAACGGTGTTGTGGTGTGGTGTGTTTTGTGTGTTGTTGTGTGTGTTTGAATCTGTCAACCAGTGCCGGCCAGTTAGTGCCGGGCGAGGAGACTTCCCGCGGGATCAACATCTTCCCACAACAGGGGCCAGACCTCGCCGTGGCCGTCACCAAGTAAGAGAGATGGCAGGATGGGATGGCTGGACGTGTGGATGGGATGTGTGCGCTGACTGCAATGGATCTATCGATGGCTGCAGCGGCATAGAGGCGTTGGCGAGTGCGGTGTACATGGCCGAGCACGTGCAGTACTGGGCGTACTCCATCCGGCTGCGGGTGCTGCCTCCCGGACACCCACAGCACGTCCCTGCACAGCAGAGAGGCTTCACGGAGGTGCAGCTCCAGAGGTATGGATGGTGGCATGGCATGTCGCAATCAATCTGTGGATGAATGAAGTCATGCATGAGGGGCTGGGCTGTCGGTGGTCTGTCACTCAGTCGCCACTGGGTGCTCACCGACGGCAACGGGCAGGTCCGAGAAGTCAGGTACGCACGCCGCTACACCCACACTCTGACGCACTTACGCACGCCTGACTGACTGGGGTCGTCTCGTCCACCACGCAATGCGATGCGTGGACGAATGTGTGCAGGGGAAGGGGCGTCATCGGCAAGCACCCGGTCAGTGAGTGAGTGAGTGAGCTGCCAGGGCCAGCGGGAGGGATGCAAAGACCCATGGATGGATGGATGGATGGGTATGTGCCTGCAGGTGTTGTGTGACGAGGGCTTCATCGACCTGCCCCTCTCCGTCGAGGGCGGCGACCCCCCGCTCCAGTCGGGGTACTTCGTCTACCAGGTAAAAAAGTACACACGCCACCCACCCATCCCAGTGGTTCATTCAACCTGCACCACACCCTTGCCCTCTCCCTCTGCTGTTGCTGCTCAGAGTTGTTCCGGGTTCATGGCCGGGGGTCACGGCACCTTCACTGGCGATCTGCTGTTCGTCAAGCGGCGGTTGAGTGACCACGAGATGGAGCCCCAGATGACCGATGACGACGACCAGGATGAGAACAATGAGGAGAGTGCCGGAGAGCGGGTCACGGTCGCCCTGGGGCTGGTCCACTTCAATGTGCCGCAGTATATCTACTGATTGACTGATCGGACAGACACAGAGATGCTTAGATGGAAGCGTGGATGCGTTAGTGGTGCGCCGTTCAGTACGCGCAGGCGCGAGGGGGATTTTCGTGAGAGCGGTCAAGGCATGCGATTGGGTGTGGGGGTACGCGTCCGTTCACTGACTGATAGACAGGTTTTTCCACACGTAGCCGTCGTCACGGCCAGTGTTTTGTCTTTTCTGTCCAGCACGCAGACAGCGATGCACCTCTCTTAGCCGCTGTGCATGTAATGTATGTGTATCAGTCGATCAGTCGTCCCATCACACGAATGGCACGGCACGGACACACACACGACACACGCATTGATTGATGATTGAAAACGATGAAGAAGACCAGACCCACACACAACACAACATGCATCACACACGTGTGTCTACAGTACGCCGCACACACACATGCCATGGAATGCATTGCAATGCCTCGGCCCTTTATTTATTCATTTGTCTTTCCCTCTCCTGTCTCTCATTGACAGATAATGAGTCCCATGTCATTAAGCGGCACACGACCACGCAATTATCCCTTCAATTATCCCCTCAATTATCCATCCATCCATCCCTACATCCCAGATCAGGTCAGATCAGATCAGCGGTTGAGTTGCAGCTGCAGCCAGTCCTTGGCTGCCCTCACACCCTGCACACACCACACCACACCACACACAGGGACACCAGCCATCGACTCACTCGACGGGTTCGTCCAGGGCCTGGATCACCCCACCCACACAAACGCACAGACGCACCTGTTTGGCGTTGGTTGCCATATTGGAGATACCCTGACGCGCCTGCTCCGTCAGGTCGTCAACTGAAGCGCACACACATCAATCAGGAAACGCCGTACTGCACCCATTCATTGCCACAAGGGCCATGTGCATTTACACGATGCCCGTCCGTCGCCGGCAACGCCCTGCAGCACAGACAGAGACAGACAGAGATATATACAGACACACAGAACGTCCATCCGCAATCCATTGTCTGGAATATGTGCACGTGTGGTCGGGCGCACCGAGGGGTCAGCTGAGGGATTTCCAAAGAAGGCATTTGACGAGATGGCCTGATGCGACGACATTGCACTTATCCTGTTCTGAATGTCCATCCGCTCAGCGGCGCTCTGGCGAGATCTGAAGGGGACCCGCAGCAGCAACAACACCCAGCTGTCAGATTGATTCAGCCGAGAGAGAGACAGCTGTAGGTATTGTGCACTTACGGGTCTGCGAAGAAGTCCGCCGAAGAAATGGACTTGGCCTTCTCCCACCGCCCACCACCCGCATTGCCGCCCGCGGACGTCGCCGCTGACAGGCGATTCCTGCAGCACGGGGGACATTCATGACACACGACGACACGGGTATGCCTTTGCCTTTGCCTTTGTCCGTCTGTCTGGGTGACGTCCGTACGTGCTGCTGATTGAGGCCTTGGTGGCGTCAGGTTTGGCGGGCGACTCTGCGCCTTTGATGGATACAGGGGACGTCCCGTCGGCCTTTAACGCCTCAGCTGACATTCACACAGACACATACGGACCACCGCAGGTCACCCCACAAGACGAAGAGCCTCCTGAATCACTGCCCCCTCCCCCTAACTCACTCACCGACAGCAGCGGAGAGCGACTGCCCGCCGGCCTTGTCGCCGGCCTTGGTGGCCTGCGCCTCGTTTTGCTGCAGCTCCTTCTCCAGCGAGTCGAAATCAAAGCCCACATCCAGCCGCTGGGCCTTGAGCTGACCCCCGACGTGCACTCCATGGTGCTGCCCGTGGACATGCACAGGGCCGCGACCCGACGGGGCGCTCGCGGGCTTGATGGCGATCGGCTGGGCCGGCCGGTGGATGGGGGGGTGGTGTGGCTCCTTCGGCTGCTGCTGCTGCTGCTGTGGTGATGCTGGTGCGGGTGCGAGGGATGGGGCTGGTGTGGTGGTGGAGCCGAAAGGGGAGACTGGCGGGGGGAGGGACGGCTTGGCGCCACCGGCGGCTGACGGGCCACCGGGGCTGCCCGCTGACGCAATGGGACTCTCTGGGGGATCAACCAATACACGCATCCATCCATCCATCCATCGATTCGTTATGTGGACCTACCTTCACTAAGTCCCGTGTCGCCTCTCTTGAAGTCGCGACCCAACGCACCGGCTACCAATTTCTGAAAAGGCAAGACAGCCAGGCACAGCATCGCAGCAAACGATGCGATGCACACCATCTCATCATCTCTCTCTCTCTTCTCTGGCTGGCTGGCTGGCGTGTTTGTTTCCATTGTACGTACGTCGAGGTGGTGCTTGTACTTGTGGGCCATTTTGCTGTGGTAGTCGACATGCTTCCCGTCCAACAACCTGAGCATCTCTCTCCAGCGGCAGGCAGAGATGGATGAGAGAGAGATGGAAGCGAGAGGAGAGAGGACGGCTTTTCTCGTCCCGTCCGTCGCTGTCTGCTCACCCGTGCTGTTTGAAGTAGCTTCGGGCCTTGCCGTTGCCGCCTTGACAAACAAACACATGACAGTGTGTCGGGCCTCTCGGCTTGTGTGTTGCTTGTGTGGGTGCGCTCACCGAGCTCCATCCGGGTCAGCTGCTCCCTCGTGAATTTGTCCAGCTCACAAGACCTGCAGCCACATACCCCCCGCCGTCTCGCCTCTCTCTCTCTCTCTCTCTCTCAGGTCTGTCTGTCTGCCCCGTCTGTCTGTCTGTGTGTCCTTGTACAGTACCTGACGAATGACACGTGCACGCCCATTCTCCTGTGGTTTCCGCTGCAGGTGAGGCACAGGTAGACGCCATAGGTGAGGCTCATCCAGGTGGGGTTGCGGGCGTTGCAGTCAAAGCAGCCCCGGTTCTCCAGCTTCATCCGCAGCCGCCGGAACTGCGCGTCGCGGTCGGCCTCGGACACAAAGCCCTTCTCATCCACCGGCAGATCCAGGATGGCAGACCTCTGAGTAGAGGGCACATCAGACGACTCGGGGTGGGCTGAAGACCCAGACATCGTTTCGGGACTTCAAGCCAAGGAAACGACTTGAGCGGGTGGCTGGGAGCTGCCTAAACGGAACTCTGCTGCCCTTTTTCTCTCTTCTGAGTTACGAGCTCGCCTCGCAAGGGCGAGGAAGAGGAAAAGGACCGGACGTTGTGCTGTCTGTGAGCCCCTGGCAGATCTTGCTGCCTTCTGCGCTGAGATCGATATGTGGCAGCGGCGGGTGTCCTGATGGGTGAGTCGGTGGCCGGGCAGATCTGTGCAGTGGCATGTGCGGTGCTTTCGTGGTACGCCGCCTCGCTGTCGCTCACCTTTCTGATGAAGTACATTTTGGTACGGCACACACTCCACTCACTTGTCAGAAGGCATCTACCTGAGTCAGCAGATGTGTGTTGTGTGTGGTCCAACGCACAGGACACTCTTGGCTTCCAGTATCCCATTCTGGTGACGTTCATCCACTTTGGCTTCATGAGCCTGCTCCTCAGATCGGTAACTAACGTGATGAACACAGCGCGTTGTCAACCGATGGATGAGGGAGGGGCCTGCAATGCAATGCAATGCAATGTCACTCACTGGTGGCGTCTGTCTTGGCAGAGTTTTGCCTTCCTTTCCTGGTTCCCGGACTTTCCCGCCATCTCTGGCACGATGTACCTCAGATTCATTGTGCCAAGTGAGTGAGCACCGCTGGCGGGCGGCCTGCGGCTGGATTGAAGCTGCACATCGTTCACTCACACTCATCTGCTGTCTGTCTGTGTGTGCCTGTGTGCCTGTCTGCCCGTGTGTGTCGCTTGCAGTTGCTCTGTGCACTGCGGCCGACATATCGCTGAGCAATGAGTCGTACAGCATGGTCTCGGTGTCCGTCATGACGGTGAGGCGGCCAGGCAAGCAAATGGGCAGACCGCAGGTGTTGCTGTGTGTGTGTGTGTGTGTGTGTGTTTGCAGGTCATTAAGAGCAGCATTGTGGTTGTGACGTACCTCCTAGGCCTTGCATTCGGTCGGCAAACCACACGCACAAAAAAATACACATGGATGACTGATGCGGCGCGCATACGTTTGTGTGTGTGTGTGTGTGTGGCTGCATGCAGGTTTGGAGGTGTTCCGTTGCCTGACATTGTTGTTGGTTGGTCTGATAATGGGGGCGATATCGCTGACAGTGCGTGACATGGAGGTGCACAACAGTCTGGGAGTCGTGTTTCTGCTGGGGGCGGTGGTGGCGTCGGCCATCCGGTGGGTCATCATCCACCACATGCTGCAGACGCGCCACCTGCAGCCCCTGCAGCTCCTCATCCTCACACAACCGGCAGCCACCTTCTGCCTCGCACCGGCAGCCGTAGCCATCGACGTACAACGACTTGTTGGTTCGTAAGCACACACAGACACAGACACACAAACAGAGGGAGGGAGGGAGGGACACACAGACACAGAGCACAGAGCGGTTGTGGTGATGGATGCGGGCCTGCGTGCCTGTCCTGTCTGGTGTGCAGAGGCTGACTTGGCGCTGCCTGATGTGCCAAAGCTGATGTCCGCCCTCTTCTTGGTGGCCCTCTCTGTGTTGGTGGCCTTCGCCGTCCATCTCTCCGAATTCAGACTCGTAGGTAGGCAGCCAAGCCGAGACCCATTTATCCATCCATCCATCCGTCCATTGAATGCACTGATGGGTCTGTGAATGTGTCTGTCTGTCTGTCTGTCTATGCAGGTCTGACGAGCTCCCTGTCGATGACGGTGGCTGGTGTGGGCAAGGAGATGGCAACCATCCTGATATCAGTGGTAGGTATGTCTTGTCTCACAGACACGACACCTTGATGTGCTGATGCACTCCGATATTTATTGCCTGTGTGTGGGTCCATTCCATTCCTCTCATTCGTCTGTGGTGTGGTCAGGTGTTTCTGGGTGAGCGCATAACTGTGCGCGCCTTCGCGGGCATCGGTAAGGTCGCCGTCACATTGCTGCTTCTGTATTGTATGTGTGGTTGTATGTGTTTATAGGGTTGTCGATAGTGCTGCTGCTGACATACAGCGTGGTGCGCTTCCACGACTACAAGCACACCCGGCGGAAGACCGAGCCCGGCCCGGCTGTCCGTCTGTCGGTCATGCCGCCTCCCTCGGTGTACGGCAAGAAAGGCGGCGGGGTGGTCATGATGAACGGCCTGCCGGGCGATGTGGGCGGCAGGATGGACGACGGCCTGTGATGTCATTCATTCATCATCGGTGGGCTGCCGGAGGGTATCAGCCAGACCAGACCAGACCAGACAACAACCAGAACATCAGCCACGCCACGGAAGCGGAGGAACAAACAAGGCCTGATGTCACGTCATGACGTTGTGTGAGGCGATGTGAGGCGAGGTAACGTGACGGGATTGGCAGGTCACGTCTCTCTCTCCGGCTGAACCAGTTGGTGTAGTTGGATGTGTCTGTCTCGTGCAGTGCAATTCGATGTATGGTCGGTGAGTCAGTCGAGGTGAGGGGCGGGGGGATGCCATACTGACTGACTGACTCCAACAGGGAGGGTACTGGCCGGTATATATCCTTGTGTGGCGAGCGAGCGAGCGACTGGCCAGACGACGGCTGGCTGTTGTGTTTTGTCTGGCTCAATCAGTCGTTGCCTCGCTGGCTGGATGGATGGATGGCTGGAGGCGCCTTCGTGTGTCGGCGTGTGCGCCACCCACTCCTGCACACGTGTAGTCTGAGGATTATAGCAAGTGACTGGCGAGAATGTGAAGAGATCTTCACTCACCCTGTGGTGACTACACACTGACGTACATGTGTGTGTGTTTCGTTCATTCAGTTGGCCATCGTCCACAAGACCGGTCGGCCGATATATAGACATTTGAGAAATCTGTATCTACAGACAGACAGACAGACAGACAGCCAGACAGACAGTCATGCCGGCACGACAAACACATGCGCACGCATCAGTTCATCCCTCCCTCCCTTGAGCAGAGCCCTCGATTGGTACGTACGTTCGAGAAGAGCGACCCACACACAGGCAGGCAGGCAGGCAGGCACGACACACAGACAGACAGGCCATCAAGCCAGCCGTGAAGCCAGTCATCATTCGCACCGCCACCCACACACGCATCAGTCCGTCCATCTATCCCTCTTCGCACGCAGAGGCAGTCAGTCCGTCTAGGCAGCAGGCAGGTGTGTAGGTATGTTATGTGCACAGAGAGAGAGATGGATACAGACAGCTGTAGTAACCCCCCTCTCTCCCTGGGTTGATTGATTCTTCTACGGCTAGAGCTAAGAGCGGCCGATTAGCAAGTGTGTTAGTCGCGCTCGCAGTAACACTCGTCCTTCCACGTTGGTCGTGAATATCCTCGCCTACCGGGCTTGTAATGGCCCCACGCGCAGTTTGAGGGAGCCTGAGACCCGGGACCACCGGTGCAGGGGTTTTCATGTTTGTCCCGCATGCACTCCTCCTTAGTCTTGAGCGACGAGCAGTCGAACTTCATGCCTACAGACAGGTGAACCGTTCACCCACATAGACAGACAGCACAGACAGAGAGTGAGGGAGGGAATACAACCGAAGCTTAGATGTATGTATGCATTGCATACGGACACACATCTGTCTGTAGTGTACCTGTGATGCTGTGGAGCTGTTGTTGGGCGTTGTTGATGGTCTTGAGTGCCGTGTGTGCCATCGTCTGAGCCGTCTGTGTCATCGTAAGCGCCGCAGCCATCGTGTTCTTGGCGTGAGCCACCTGCTGCTTCACGACCGACAGCTAGAACTGATGGCCAGAGACACCTGCACACACACATTGCACACACCATGCGGCAACACAGATCCATCCATCCATCCATGCCGCCACGTGCGCAGTGCATTCATCTCGCATCAGCTGTGTGTGTCGTCCATGGCTGCCGCGCACACCTTTGTTGCTGTGGGTGCCGGCGATCTGCAGGCGGGAAATCTCGTCAGTGCGGTCCACAAACGACGCATCTGCACACAGCGACAGGAAGGACAGCCACATGTGGCTCAGGAGTGATGTATACGCCATAGATCTGGTCAGATGCACCCACCAGTATGGCAGTCCTCGCCCTCGCAGTAGTCGCTGTACGTGGCCGAGGCCACAGCTACGGAACATACGGCCGCCAAGGCGATGAGGAGCGCACGCATGGCCATCACTCCCTTCATCGTTTCCAGCAACCAAATCGAAAACGCTCTTTCTCGGGGTATAGACGCAGAAAGCGATCCGCGATCCGATGCACATGCATTTGGATTGAGGACATTAGAGCATTTGGAGGACATGGGGGAGACAGCGGTTTCATGGAATGGAACGTGCTCTAGTCCAAACTCCCGAAACGTAGCTCGCCTCATACAAGCATGTCGGGTGGGTGGGGCTGGGAGTGGGCTGGGTAGATAGGACGTGTGCATGCTCTTATGCATGTACATGCTGCTAGTCTAGTGCGTGACATGACAGGATCCCTCCGGGGTTACAGACACGAGTCTCGTTAAACACAATAACCAACCAACCAAAGGCCGGAAAGGCCCTCGGTCAGGATGCGGCTCCGACTGAAGATCTTCAACACGGCGACCGTTTTGGGTTTCTGTTCTTCCTCCCTGCTGCTGGTGATCACTCATGCATCCCACCTTGAAGTTTATCCTGCATTCGTCACGCCAGCCGTGCGCCTGTCGTCACGCAGACCATCCACCAACCCGCCATCCTCGCTACTACCACAGCGACGACCACTTTCATCATCTCGTTTTGCTTCTTCTCTTCTTAAGACGTCGGCTTCCACTGCTGCTGCTGCTGCTGCTGGCGATGGTTCAGATGCAGCAACACAGACACAGCCACAGTCACAACGAAAACAGACCTTCGACTTCCCCCGCAGCGGCTTCGTCGTTCGCTCTGAAGACAGCAAGGGCAGCGAGTGGACTCATGACGGATCTGCTTCGCGCGAGGGCGACCATCAGCAGCTGATGGCGGCCGTCGGGCTTTTGGCGGTGCTGGTGCCGGTGCTGTGGAGTGCGCTAGGTGACGTGAGCGAGGCGGCCGCTGGTGACGGTGGTGGTGCGGCGATATTTGACCCCGACAATTTCCGCCCCGTGTGTGGGGCGAGCGACAAGCTGTATCGGGTGCTGCAGAGCTTTGTCATGTGGCTCGTGGGCAAGGAGGCATACGACGAGTGAGCCAACGCACACGCACGCACGTACACACATACACAACTATGGCCCTGCACTCGTTCGTTCGCCATCTGACCTGACTGACGTGTGTGATGTTTTTCCGCCCGCTGGCAGATATGGTCCTCTGATAGCGGGAGGGCTGTTGCGGGTGCGGCTGGAGTTTTGCATCGTGGAGAGCTTCTACTACGAGGGCATCCTGCCCTTCATCAAGTCAGTCAGTAGTGAGAGACAGAGTGATACGATCGACACAGAGAGAGCGAGGCGGCTCAGCCAGCCTTGGCGCAAACCGACACACAACACACAACAGACAACACACAAAAGACATCGTGTGCGTTGTGTGTGAATGTGTGTATGTCAATCAGGGAGCGTGGGCTATCATGGGTGCTGCCTCTGCACGAGACCGTCGAGACCTTCATTGCAGGAACCGTCTTCGCCGGTAGGTATCCACGATAAATCATCCATCCCATTCACACGCACACAATCCTCCCTCCCTCCCTCCCTCCCTCCGTGGCCGCCTGCCTGCCTGCCTGCCTGCCTGATCCAGTTGCGACGAATTTCGTCCTGATCGGTTCGACCAAGATCATCACGGTCTTCTGCACCTATGCGGACTTCTTCTTCGGCCTCCCCAGCCGCCTCGTGGGCGGCCTCCTGGTCGACCGCTATCTAGAGGGCAAGGTCGCCAACACCAACCGGCAGCAGACACAGACCAGCGTGATGCAGCCAGCATCATCCAGGAGGTCGAGGAGCAGCAGCAGCAGCGGCGGCAGCCGGCGGCCTCAGGCTAGGGGTGGGGAGGAGAGGGTGCAGGTGGTGACCACCACGGGGCGGGGGAACCTCGACGTCACGCCCATCGACCTCATACTCATCCTCTTCGGGGGCGTCATCAAACTGTTCGGCGAGAGCCTCAAGGTTTGTATGATGCCGGCCGATAGATGTGTTTGCGTATTCTTGTGTCTGTGGTGTCTGTCATTTGTGCAGGTGGTGCGCAAGGTGACTGAGTCGACCGACATGTTTGTGGGTCGGTATCTGGTGCTGCTTACCACTGGATATGTTGTGATCAAGTTCCTGCACTTCAAGCTCTTCAACGACCTCTCCGTCTTCGAGGCCCTCAAGGTGTTCGCGGGGCTCTTCAAGGGCGCCACAGAGACCCCAGTACCCGGCGTGGCGTCGGAGCAGTCCAAGGGGGTCATGGACTTCCTCTCCGGCATGGAGCTGCCCTCCATCCCATCCGCACCCACACCTGGCAAAGTGGACGTGCCGGCGGACATGAGCAAGGCGCTCGGGGACGTCGGCAACGTGCTGGGCCAGCTGGCGCAGCCCCCGCCACCTCCTGAGGTGGATGTCCCGCAGGCTGTGGAGGCGATGCAGCAGGGAGGGGGCATACCGGCCTCAATTGACGAAGTAGATTAGACAAGGTGGGCTGGGGGGCGAAGGGGGGGGAGTTTGCTTGTGGGACATGGATGGATGGATGGCTGGTGGAGAGAGGGAGATGTGTGTGTTATGGGTTTCAGGGTGTATTGATTGCAACGACAGACGCTATGGACGTACTCGTCATGATCCATGACTGACTGACTGACTGACTGACGGACGAGTGAATGGTTGCTTGATTGTATCGTCGCCACACGCACACACACATACATGCCGTCAACGCACCGCCCCCACCCGCAGTCAGTCACACAACGCACCCTAGTGTGTCCCTACCCCCACAAACTGACCCACACCCACCCCCCCTCTACTCGTACAACAACGGCTCAATCTACCATACGGTCAGCCAGCCACCCCACCATTCATCCCTCCATCAACCCACCCACTCAGTCCTCACTCGTCCTTGGTGTGCTCGTCATCTCTTCCATGGTCAATGGCCGACTCGGGGTCGTCAATCTGAGCCTGCTGTCCGTGCGACGGCCGCATGGCCTCCCTCACATCGCCGCAGGGGGGCGTGGCGCTGCTCGACGTCCATGTGCGGACGTCCATGGCCGCCGCCGTCGAAGTGGCCGGCGTGGGCGTGGCCGCTGCTGCTGGCCCCTTCACCTCTCTGACACGCGTGTCGGTGAAATCAATCGCAGCGGCGACCAGTTCTGCCGATGGGCCTGCGGGTGACATGGCTGCGAGGCGCTGCGCTACGACATCGAAGGTTGTGGCGTGGGGGAGGTGGGGAGGGTGAGGGTGGGGCTGGGGCTGGGGCTGGGGCTGGGCTCTGGGGTGGTCGTCTTGTGTGGACGGGTCAAGTCTGGGGACGATGGACCGGTCTTCGGGGCTCTGCACCTGGTTGGTCAGGGAGGCGATCAGAGACGACATGGCGTCGCTCAGAGAGGCCTGCTGGTGCTGCCACTGCACACAAACACACAGACATCGGAGGGAGGGAGGGAGGGAGGGAGGGGCTACTGATTCGACGTGTGTGTGTACGTTTACCTTTTCTAGGCTGGTGCGCATGCCCCTGAGGGATTTGAGCTGCTCCTGTGTGTCCCTCAGCTCCCGCTTCACCGCCACCAGCTCCTCGTGCAGCGCCGCCTCCCTCTCCTCGTACCTCTGTTTGAGGAGCTGCGTCTCGCGCTCATTCTGGGCAATGACCTCCTCAGCCTTGCCCCTGACAGACAAACAGACAGACAGACAGACAGCCATGCCACACAACACGCATCGCGTGGATGGATGGGGTTTTGGTTTTCATTCATCGCCCGTCGGCCACCTACCTGGAGTGCAGGTCTTGGTTAAGCCTTTCCAGCTCTTTGAGTGCCTCCTCCAGCCGCTCCTCATAGCGCCCGCACTCACGCGTGAGCCGCGCCACCTCCTGATGATACGATACACACCAGACAGACAGACAGACGCACATGGATGGCCACATGTGCCACAGTGATACCCACCTGTTGCAGCGAGTCCCTGTCCACCGTGACGTCGGCCTTGTCTTTTCGGCACTGGTACAGCTGCATCTGGGCCTCCGACATCTGAACGCACGAGCCAGACAGACAGACAATAACACGCTCCACGCACACGAGCAGAGGAGATAGCGCCCTTGCTTGTCTGGCCCACCTGAGCTCTCAGGACATCTGCCGTCACCGCCTCCTCGGAAGCCTGACGCCTCGCATAAAGCTCTACACCCCCACCAGCACCCCCACCAGCACCCCCACCAGCAGCGGTAGGCTGGCCCTGCTCGTCATCTGGCTGTTTGTCCTTGTCGATGTGAGCGCGAGTCGTGAGTCGGCCAGGCTGGTCGCCACCGACGTGCTGAAGGGCCTCGCGGGTGGTCTGGGCGATCAGCTCGGCGTGGAATTTCGCCTGCAGGTCGTCCAGCTGACGCCGCAGCTGAGCCACCTCACCGGCATACTGCACCGCACCACAACACACACAGACAGAGTGAGGTTTGGCCCATGGATGGATGGATGGATGGATGAAATTGGTGAGATTGGGTCACTAACGTACGTGTTGGTTTTGTGTGGCAAGCGTGTGTCGGTTCTTGTCTAGGTTTGTCTTCTCCTTGCGTATGCCGTCGAGCTCTCGCCTGAGCTCCTGAGTGTCCCGGACCCGCTCAAGCAGACCCTGACGACGACATCGACCCAACCATGCCGACACGGTCTCCGCTGCGTATCTTTCCCCCCCCTCTCGGCCTTGCTGTATCTGCCCAATCTAGGTACCTTGATTTCGTCCTGCATCTTCTTGTTGTCAGTCTGGAGAGCCTGCAGCTGCACCTCTCGCCTCTCGGCCGCTGCCTCCAACGCCGCACGATCCGACTCAGCCTGGAGGAACGACCAACGGCAGCGGAACGTGTGACTGCGGGTGTGTGTGTGCCCCTTCCTCTCCCAGCCTGCGTGTGTCCGTGAGTTACTCACTCGCTGGAGGTCGACAGCCTTGCCTTGGTACTTGTTCTGCAGCTCCAGCAACTGACGCTCGTACTCGTTGTCGCGCAAACGGACTATCGCCGCCTGCATGGGATCCAGATAACCAAACCATAAGAGAGAGAGAGGTGTGGGCAGGTGAGTGAGGTGTTTCCCATCCGTATAAGCCCGCGGCCGTGTGTTGTGTTGTGTGTTTGATACCTACCTGGTAGAGTGTTTCGTGTGTCTGGAGGTTGGTCTCCTTGTCCTTGATCAGCGCCTTGAGCTGCTCCAGCTGCTGCGTGCACACCGAGGCGTCCTCGACCATACGGAGCTGGCACAAGACAGCACAACACAGCACAACACAACACACAACAGACATTAAGGGGTGCAGACATGATCATCCTGACTGTGTGACGGGCCGACGGACCTTCTCCCTCTCGTGAGCGTGCCTGTCTCTGCTGAGCTGCTCTGAGAGCTTCTCGTACTCCTCCTGCCAGGCCTTCACGCGGCACTCGGCCTCAGCCAACCGGCGCTCCACCGCCACACGCCCTGATCTCACATACATGTATGACACCATCACCACACGCACACACGTGGCGTGGGTTTGTGTGGCCGCGGGCATTCATTGTGTCACGTGCCTGCCTGCCTGCCTGCCTGTCTACGTTGTGAGTTATCGTCGAATCTCAGCTGGCGGGCTGTGTCGTCCTCCTTCAGCTTGTGGACAACGCGCTCGGCGGCCTGACCGAGAAGAGCGGAAGATGGGACAGGGAGGGCTTTCTGCCTGCCTTCAGCCCCCTGTGTGTGTGTGTGCCTGTCTGTCTGTCTGTCTATCTACCTCTAGCTGTCCCTTCTGCGTGATGATGGCCTGCTCCAGCCTGGCCTTCTCCTCCCTCAGCACCGTCACATCGTGGACAGATCCCTGACACACGCAGACACACGTAACGTACATTCGCAGAGGCCGGGCCGGCCGATACATCCATCCACGATAGACCGACAAACAGATAAGCGGCGCCTTGTGCTGTTGCCGACCTGTAGCTGCTCCTGGAGCGACGCCTGCGCGAGATAGGCACACCACAAAGGAAAAGACCTCTCTATGTCCAGCCTGCCCGGCATTTTGGTACCATGATGGCTGGCTTCTCACCACTGAGCCGTTGAGTTCGCTTCGCGTGTTCTGGAGCTCCTTTGAGAGGAGCTCGATCTGTGCCTCGGCCGCGGTGAGGGACTTCTCCATTAGGTGCTGCTTGACGTCATGCTTGACGAGCGGCGCGCTGGCCCGCTCCTTGAGGTAGTCGTTCTCCAGGCCCATGAAGTACAGCTGCTGCTCCAGCTTGCACACGTAAGACGAATCCTCATCGCCAGCACTCCCAGACCCATCGCCTGCATGATCATGGATGGCGCCATCAACACAATGAATGGCATGCAATGCATTCATTTTGGGATCAGACAGACAGACAGACAGACAAACAGACAGAAACACACGCAGCAGATGGATGGATCCGTCCCGCAGTCAGCTGTCTGCGTTGTGCGTGTGTCCACTCCACGTGGCCGCCTTAGTCACCTTTTGGGCTTCGTCCTCTCAGAGTCTCTCTCGGGATGGCTTTCGATGGCGGCAGCGCTCCTCTGAACCCGCCGCCTCGCCCAGCGCCTGAAATGCGATATCTAGGGCCACCGCTCATGCCGCCAGCCCTCCCTTGCAAGCTCATCTGCGAGCTTGGCGTGAAGCAACTGACGAGAGAAGCAAAAGCAAAGCCGACAGCACGGCGTCGCCATGGCGATGCCTTTAAAGGAGTTCCATTCTGTCAGGTAGGCTTCCACCAGGAAGGTGTCAAGGCAGGCACAGAAGAGTAGTGTCGGCAGGGAGGTGCATGACGGCCAGAGGGGGGCCAGGGGGGTCCTCCTGACCGCGGGAGGCGGCTCACGCGCTTCTGCGTGGTGTGTGTGTGCGTCAGGAGTCAGCAGTGAAGTCAGTGAAGTCATATGAGTGGCTCAGGCGACAGTTTTGGAGGCAAGAGCTCAGGCAAAACGCTCAGTGCCACGGCACCGGAATTCTTCCCTGTAAGCTGGCAGGACGGACGGAGGAACAGCCAGCACAAGAAGCCACGGTTAACCGCTGACGACTGCTTCCCTCTGTCGGTCTGTCTTGTCTGTCTGTTGTAGCCTGGGGCGAGTGATCCCCGAGTTGCCACTACTGGAGGTTCAGTGGAGGGCATGGGCAGCGAGGGCGGATACGCGCCATACGCACCCGTGGCACCCAACGCATACAACCAGGTGGGCCCGGCGGGAGGGAGGGAGGGAGAGTGAGTGACCACATACATCTATCTCAGCTCAGCTCACTCACTGAAGCGACCAGACGCTCTGATCTGTGCCACGCCACCCACATGCTGTTCCTTCGTTTGTTTTGTCGGTGTGCGATGCAATTCCTGATGCAGGGCAAGGCCAACGACATGAGCGGCATGAACAACCCCCGATACGGCAACCAAACCAGTGAGCGACATGACACCACACGATTGACGCACAGACACTCACACACACACACACGTGGAGGAAGCACTCACTGAGTATGTCCCTCCCCTGACCGCACCTCACCTTGCCCTCCGCCCGTTTTCGTGTCTGTCTGTCAGACGTGTATGGGGGCGCTGCGTCGTATGGCGGCATGTCGTCCCTGCCCCTCAACCCACCCCAACAGGGGCCCTTCCGTCCCGTCGGCAGCCCGCCATCCCTCCTGGGTACCCCGTTTCCCATGTCGGGCACCATGCCTTCGACATGGCAGGCCGCCAGCCACCCCGACTACCTCATCAACCAGCCCCCGCCCCCGGCGGTGGCGCAGGCGGTGGCGCAGTATGGCGCCAACGGGGCGGCCGCAAATGGACACCGGGGCTACCCTGCGCCATACCCGATGCAGCCCATGTACCAGCAGCAAGACGCAAGTGAGCCGTCGATCAACACACTCACCAAGGCAGACGCCGGTGATAGGAGGGAGGGATGGAACTTTGCGTATGTATGTTTGTATGTGTGCAGGTGGTTTCGGCCGAGCTGGGCAGGGCGGTCAGTACCCGAGTGGACAGGAGTATCCCCCCGCCCACGGCCAGGCGTACGCCTATCCTCAGCCCGCCAACGTCAACAGCAGCGGGGCCAGCCCCTATCACCTCACACACAGCTCACCCTCACACCAGCACCAGCACCAGCACCAACATCAGCAGCAGACATTTCCCCCCTACCAGCCGCCGCCGCAGCACCCGGGCGGTGGCGGCGGCCCTCGATATCCCGGAGGCGGAGGGGCTAACAGGGGCGGGAGGGAGAGGAGGAACGGTGAGCGACCACCAATTTCACCCACCATCAAGTGACTTGCAGAAAGGTGTTGCCGCTTGTTTGGTGTCATGTCATGTCATGTTAGGTGGGCGTGGTCGGGGCATCCGCAACAACAGTTTCTCAGGCGGGCAGAGCCACCACCATCCGTTGGCGTCATCCCCCGCCACTGGGACGCCGAACATGAGTGTCGTTCCCTCCGTCGAGAGCTCCCCAGCCCCGGCGGCCAAGGCTCACCCCCCGCCCCCACCCCCTCCTCCCCCACCTGCCAGCGCGCCCAACACGCCCGCAACAGGTGCGTGGCTGGGGAGGGAGGGACGGAGGGAGGGAGGGAGATATGACTGTGGCGATGTATGCATGTGATGGGTTTGATGTGTGCAGGTCGGAGCTATGCTGATACGCTGCAGCGGGATCTCGACAAGAAGGTGCACGGCCAGGTCAAGATCCTCGGCAAGGCTGCCGCCCCCAGCGGCGCCCCCACACCTTCGTCGGCCGGCACCACAGGCGGTGCGGCCCTCAACCCGAGCGCCCAGCCCTTCTCACCCACCAACGCGTCGGCCTTCCCGTCCATCATCCGGGGCGAGGCCGTCCCGCCCCTCTCGGGCAGCACCAGCGACACCGGCACCGCCCCCTGCTCACTCAAGGACGGCAGCAGCGAGGGCGAGGCGGTCGAGAGGAAGACCAAGGACCCCCCACAGCCGCAGAAGAAGACAGACAGCCGCGGGGAGGGCCACAATCAGGGTCAGGACGAGGGGGCCATCGCCCAGCAGACACACGAGGGACAGCCCGACCGGCGGAGAGGGAACGGTGTGGCTGACCCGCCGCCGAAAGAAAAAACACCAGCACCGAGCGGCAAGACCGAGAGTCAGCGGGAGGGGGCCAAGGAGGATGGGGGCAAGCCTCGTGAAGGCGCCACCGGCAGCACGGCAAAGGAGGAGGCTGTCAAGGGCGAGAAGGAGGAGGGGGGGAGGGGTGTCGCTGGGGCCCCTCCAGAGGAGAAAGACAAGTCTCCCTCACCATCGGCTGCTCCTGCTGAGGCCTCCAAGCGGGGAGCTGCCACAGCGACACCTGCCCCGGAGGCACGCAAGGAGGCGGCACCGAGCGTGAGCAAGCCCGCTGAGACCGCAGAGGCGCCCAAGGACCCTCCGCCACAACCTGAGCCCGAGAAACAGGGTACGCAATGACACCAGACAGACAGACAAAGAGAGCAATCAAGGACACCCTCATGTCTCTTCGTCTGTCTGTCTGTCTGTCTGACAGGTCCATTGTCATGGGCTGACCGTCTCAAGAAGAACACGGCCAAGGCTCCCGCACCCAAGGCCGGCCCCCCCAAGCAGTTCACACCCGCACAAGCCAAGGGCACCACCGCAGGGCCCAAGATGGGACCGGCCCCACGGGGCATGGGACGAGGCACCGCTGCAGCCTCTCCCTCGCCCCCTGCCAGCTCACCCAAGGAGACCAGCGGACAGACCACGCCCGTCTCGCATCCTCCCGTCATCCCCTACCACCCACCGCCAACACAGCAGCCCCAGCAGCCAGCTGCGGCCGCATCGGCGGGCAACGACGTGCAGGACAGCAGCAAGGCCAAGGGCGGCAAGGGCGGAGAGGATCAGGACAAGGACAGAGACAAGGGCAGGAAGCCCAGGCCAGGGGAGGGTGGTGTAACCGGTGCGGCGGCATCGTCCCCCAAGTCGGCATCGTCCGCGGAGGCCGCTGCCTTGGACACCGCCGCTAAGGAGAAGGACAAGGACAAGACGGGCGGTGACGAGCGGAAGGACAAGGACGGCAAGGCGCGCAAGGCACCAGCGGCCGACCAACGCAATGGGCAGGAATCAGCACCAGCAGCACCAGCGCCAGCACCAGCACCGACGGTGGCGGCGAAGGAGCCAAAGGAGCCAACCGCTCCTGCCCCGGCTTCGGCTGCCGTGGCTGCTGGTGCGCCATCCGCCCCTGCCAAGCCGCCCTCGGCGCCGTCCTCTGAGGCATCTGCGCCGTCCCCTCCCTCTGCGTCCCCATCTCCCTCAGCCCTCGCCCTTCGACAGACACAGCCCCCCGCTCCACAAACCCCTGCGCCAGCAGAGCCCTCACCGGCGTCATCTCCGAGCGAGAGCAAGACACCCAGCTGGGCCGACATGGCCAAGAGGAAGCCCTCGCCGGCCGCCGCCAAGCCGAGGGTCAGCCCTAGCACCTCGGCCATCGGGAGGGGCAGGGGCATGCCCGTCGGCCCGGTGCCCGCTGGAGGCGACAGGAGACCCCAGCCACCCCAGCCGCAGCAACAGGCGGCACCCACCATCGCGGCGGCAGAGAAGCCAGTTGGTCCGAAGAAGGAGCCTTCCATGGCGGCTGATGACGCTGCGGGCCGGAAGACCGACAGCACCACCAGCAAGCCGCTGGCTGCTGGCCCTGCTGCTGCTGCTGCTGCTGCTGCTGCCAAGGAAAAAAGAGTTGCGCCCCCCGTGCCGCCCGTGGCCAAGGCGGCTGCCCCCGAGAAGTCTCCCGCAGCCACAGGAGCCAAGTCATGGGCGTCAGTAGTGGGCGAGCCCAAGACCGCCGAGAAGTCCGCAGCGCCGGAGCCTCCAGCCGTGACCAAGCCTGTGCCAGCGGCAAAGGAGGATGAGGCCAGGCTGGAGCCGCCGCAGACAGCTCCCGAAGCCGAGGCTGAGGCAACGACACTTCCCAAGGACAACCTTCCTGAGGGCGAGGGCGCCGCTGCTGCTGCTGCTGATCAGGAGAAGGGCGACTCGGCTGCTGCAGCGGCTGTCAATGAGCAGGAGCAGCCATCTGCTGCTCCTGAAGTGGAGGAATCAGCCGGGGACGCCACAGCCGGTCTGGTCGACGTGCAGGGTGAGCCCTCAGACGAGCCGGCTGCACCTCCTGCTGCGGAGGCTGAGGCCGCGCCAGCCGAGCGCGAGACACCGGCGGGCGAGACAAAGGTGGACGAAGCCGTGATTGAGGCGGTCAAGGAGGAGCCCCTGGCGCCTGTCAAGCAGGACACCATCGCAGCAGAGTCGCAGGGGGCGGCCAAGGAGGCGCCGCCCGTGGTTGAGGAGCCGCCCAAGGAAAAGCCGGCCCGAGACGAGGAGCCCATCCCCGCTTCAGATGAGGTCAAGGCCAGCGCGGTCAGCCCAGCGGCCGCCGACAAGACGGAGGAGACGCCGTCTGCACCCTCTCCCTCTCCCCCTCCCCCTCCCCTTCCGCCCCAGCCCCCAGTACCCGCCGCGCCAGTGCCCGCCGCGGCCCACCCAGGTGCTCCCGAGGCGGCGATGGACGAGGGTGTGGAGGGCGACCGTGAGGATGCGGGCGAGCTGGATGAGGCTGAGGAGGAGCAGACGGACTCGGATCAGCCGTCGGGGGTGTACAGGAGCAGCTCTGTC